AGCCCGCGGGGTCCGGGCCACGAACCGTGGTCGACTACGTGGGAGTCCAGCGACATAGCCATTACGCTAACTGCTGGTTCCCTAGGTATGTGTCTTTTTAAAAAAGTGAAAAAATACATTGACTAAGGTAAATTTATTTTTTAACAAAAAAGACTTTTTTAAAAAAGTAAGCTTTTTAAGTCATTTAAATGTTAAGAAATTTGAAACTGTTTACTGTTTCTGCTTCCATAATTCCAAATATTTATCTTGGTGTATTTATGGTTATTTCAACAGAACTTGCATTAATTATTTTGTTTTTAATAAATATAAACCTGAAATTTTTGTATGTAAAAAAAATACTTTTCATAATTTAGAAGGAAAAAATTATTTGAAATAAAACTGGCAGACTACAATTATTTAGAAGTTTGCTGCAATATCGATACCTTCTTTTTATTACAGCTCTCCATAGAGTAACAGAAATTCTTGAAGGAAGAATAGGCATTTAAACATTTGACAATCAATGAATTCTAGAATCAAAATTATATTTTTAAACAAAACAATTCATGAATTAAATAAGTTTACTGGGACCAGCAAATGGCATAATGGTTGTATCTCTAGATTCCCATGTCATTGACCGCAATTCAAGTCCTGGACCTGGTGGTTTAAAACTAACACCGGACGTGTGTACGTGCATTCCCAAGTTTCTGAGGAGAGGATGGAGGAGAAGGAATTGTGGCATAGCCATCTCCCCTGGGGGGTGATTTTTTGCTTTTTGTCTCTTTGTCTCTTTCTGTCTCTCTGGCAAGTGCACATACCCTATAGCAAAAATCTCTCTCTATCTCTATCTATCTATCTATCTATTTATAAATGAAACCAGTTTGGAAACCTTCATTTTCCCCAAACATAACCCTCTGAGTGAGGATCTGCCATTGTCTCTGAACAGTCTGACCTATGAGAAAGGAAAAAACTGTTACTTCAGGAAGTCAAGGAGATTTCCTGGTTGACTTCTACACCTAGGTCTACCAGATCTTTAAGCATAGAGAGAAAAACTAAAAAAAAGAAAAAATTTACATAAAAAAATACTTGTCATGTAGTCAAAGCCTGATCATGGAAATTTATTTTCAGTTTATTTATTTATTTATTTTCTGTTGAGAATATAACAGAAAAGACTTTGGGCATGTGAATTATGGTCTTTTCATTTTAAAAGTGAATCCAGTGGCTATACACTAGTCATAAAGACTTTTTGTTTTAGCTTTACTTATCTCTAAAATGGGTATTAGAATTTTGTTCCTAGATTCACTCATCTCTAAAATGGGTATCCTAATTTTGTTCCTAGGTTCACTTGCTCCTAAAATGGGTATCATATTTAGATTGAAGTATACAAAATTGACAATCACTTTTTTTGGGAAAGATTTTTTCTCTACTGGAGAGACAGAAAGCAAGAAATCTCCCAGAGGGAATGGCTACACTACAGTCCCTTCTCCAATCTCCCTTTGGGAATTTGGGCACACACGCACACGTGACCAGCCTGAATGTCAAGCTGCTGAGTGTGGGACTTGAACCACAGTCAATCACATGGGAGTCCAGTATCTTAATCACTATACTACCTGCTGACTCCACAATAATTGATCTTTTAACTTACATGAAGAACAATCTTGATCCAATATTCTTTATCCCAGGCAACAGATTGTATCAAATAAAAAATAATTAGTGAAAATATTTTATAAACTTATAAATAAAACAATATATAATGTGTCGACATAAATAGTCACAATTTATCTAAAAAATTTAAAACATAGATGAGGCATATTCCAGGGTTTTTGCTGAATCAAAATTTTTATTATGCATTCTGAAAATGTTAAATGAATAAATGAATCCTCTGTGTTCAAATGCAACTCTACCACTCGGTATTATAAATTTAACCATTGCTAGACCTCCTGAGCAATCAGCTTTCTCTTCTGTGAAACAGAAGGAGACTCCTTCCCTCTCCATTTGGTTATTCGGACTACAAACGACAGTACCTATAAGATTCTTGATGGAGTTCAGGGAACACTGAAAACATGGAATACCATTGATGACTATTACATCTCTGTCATCAGTAGTTTTAGCCAAGTCTACATTCTGGCTTCTGAAAGTTCTCTGAGAAAAATATGTGGAGTGAGAACTAGGTCTGGGAAAATCAAACTGTGGAGCAGGAGAGAAGAATGTATTATAATGGTTTACCATTTACCTGCACTAGGCCCCTTAGTACTCCTAGTTTTCAGTTACAGAAAGGTCCTTAGGACTCATTCCTTAAGGGACCATGAGGATATGATGCAGGAACAGGTAAGGCTTGCTTAACCTGGAGGTGAGGGACTGTTGCTTTGTTCTCTGTATAGCAGTCCAAGCCACCTATGGGAATAGATAGCAAAAGATGTACACTGGGATCCTATTGTAAGAAGTCTATTCCCAATAGGGGTTGGCTGGAGGATATTATAGCTTGCTATAGGCCCTTTGCTGCTCAGAGATTGAGAGGCAGCTCTTATGAAATGTGGTGTTGGGTGGGGAGGTCCTCTAAAGCTTTGGCCTGGTCTGTGGAAAGCACAGCCCATTCTCCCTGGATACCTAGGACAGGCTGGGGCTTTACTTTATTGCTGTTCTCAGTCACATTCATCTCCTCTCTCCTCCTCTCCACCTTCACTGTTCCAGCTTGTCTCCCCAAAGTTTCTCCTCTGGCCCTGCATTGCCCTTCCTTTACCTCCCTTCCCATCTTCATATTCATCCACATATTTTTTTTTTATCCCCTTCCCTCTGTCTCTACTTTACTCTCTACCCTTTCACTTGCCTTTCTATCTTGTTTTCCCTGATTCTTTTATCACTTCACTCTTTATCCCCGCACCCACTCTGTGTTTGGCATGAAGATGTATTAAAATAATTAAGGAACAGAGAGGATGCCAGCATCAGCAGAGACCACTCAGCAGAATGCCATCATCTCCAGTTAGGACAAGAGAGAGGTACTAACACTGACTTTGTTCTGCAGCAGTAGGTTTTTAATTAAAATAGTTTCAGTTTTCCTTATAATGAAACATGTGACATTATGAAATGAAATTCATGGATGGGTTATTCAGGTGAGTGACCTAATATCCTTAAGACCATTCTTCTAAACTCTTCAATCCCTATTTCTTTGTGTGGTACAAAAGGAACTTATTTATTAAATTGTGTCTATTTCCAGGGTTCATATGGTTCATCCTCTCTACCTATTTAAATTCATTGCTGTTGCTCAGAAAATATATCCCTCAACTGTAGGTCTCTGGAACTTTGTCCAAGACCCTTATCCTTCTGGTGGGAATGTCTTCCTTGTGTCTAATCAGATTATTCATTAATTTATGCCAGAAAAAAAATTATCTCTTAAGGGTCATAAAAATAATAAATATGACAGTGATGTTATAAATAACTCGGTGGATATTTACATTCAAGTGTTAGGAATTGCTCACTAGAGGAAAAAGGGATCAAATACCTAAGTTACAAAAGTGAAGTCAGTTATTTACTGGGTATGCAAGGGGTATTGGACAGCCACAGAAATATGAAATACCTTTACTGGGACCAGCAGTTAGCGTAATGGCTATGTCGCTGGACTCCCAAGTAGTTGACCGCGGTTCACGTCCCGGACCTGGTGGCTTAAAATTTATGCCGGGTGTGTGTGCATGCGTGTCCAGGATCCTGAGAGGAGAATGGAGGAGAAGGGATTGCGGTGTGGCCATCCCCCCTGGGGGGTGATTTTTCACATTCTATCTCTCTGTCTCTCTCTGTCTGTCTGGCGAGCGCATGCGCCCTATAGCAAAAATCTCTCCAAAGGGGGAAAAAAAATACCTTTACCAAACATTTGTTTTTGAAATTCCACAGTGCGAGAGAATGAAGGGAAAGTTGTAAGATGTATTGTGTAACTTCTTCATCACCTCTTTTTATAACCTCATTTAGGCCGATATAAGGCAGACATTTTCAATTTTTGTGGAAGCTTGACATTCTGTGAGAAGGATGACCTCGGTCTGTTATGGAAATAAAAGATTACTATTCTTTAGCAATTCAAAGGAAAAAGAGGTAATGGGTAGAATGTTTTCAATGTTAATTTTTTTCTCTCTTACTTTTTTACTTCTTTTCATTTTGCTTTTGTTTGTACCATAATCTATTATATAATAATGTTTGGTTTAAACATTGTATATTATGTTTTATATAAACATGTGTCATGACTTTTGTTAAAGAAAGTGCAATATGGAATTGATCTGCCATGTAAACATATTTTTAAGTCATAACAATAACAACAATATATACATAGTGCTAACTAATAGTTAGAAATTGTCCCAAGTCCAAATGTCCCCACTTTCCAGGACATACTCATGTGTGTAGATCCATAGAGCAATTCTCTTTAGCTTCATCTTACTTTTAATAAGAAAGCTGATGAATTTCACAATGATTAAGCAGCAGCACTGGGATTCAAACCCTTAATTAGTTCACTATGATGCCTCTTAGGCGCTATTGATTTTCTAGACTTTCTACAAGGACCTGTTAAATATGAGGACCTGAACCTCATAAGTACCTGGAATGAAATTTGGATTACAGAGTTTGAGTTTTAGCTATGAAATTTTCTCACCAGAAAACCTCAGGTAACTCTTCCTTTTCTTAGACACTTGGTTCTGTCAGATTGGGTGAGGACAGTGCTCACTTCTTGTAGATCATCTATGATAGTGGCATCCAGGGGCTACCAAAGACTGAAGGAGCTGGTCAAGTCTCCTGAAAAAGTGATAATCTACTTTTCTTCTGAAAGAAGTCTATGAAAGAAACCTTTCTCTCAACAGCCAGCATTTCACAGTCTCTTGGGTATTCTGCTAACAAATTTTAGGAATAAAATCTATGTGTAATCACTGTTTATAAACATAGCTGTTCCTTCTTAGGAATAGTAATGGTCTTAGGCACATGGTATAATTTCTCCAAGAAAACTCAAGCTGACTGATGACATATAACCTGGCCTCTCATGGGCAACTTCAGGATCAATGCCTCAGATATTCCCAGCTTTATTCTGACGGGCTTCCCAGGAATGGAAGACATGGAGCCCTGGCTCTCCCTGCCTCTCCTTCTACTTTATGCCATCTCCATTGTGGGCAACACCTTGATTCTCCTCATTGTCAAGGAGGAGCAGAGCTTGCACCAGCCCATGTACTACTTCTTGTCCCTACTCTCAGTCAATGACTTGGGTGTGTCTTTCTCCACATTGCCCACTGTGTTGGCTGCTCTCTGCTTCCATGCTCGAGTGATCACCTTTAATTCCTGCTTGACCCAAATGTTCTTCATCCACCTCTTTTCATGGACAGAGTCTGGCATCCTTTTGGCTATGAGCTTTGATCGCTATGTAGCCATCTGTAACCCATTGCGCTATGCTGCAGTACTCACCAATACCCGTATTGTGATCATAGGCCTGAGCACTCTCCTCCGCAGCTTTGCTCTCATCTTGGTCTTCCCGCTGCTGTTGCACAGACTGCCCTTCTGCCACCCTAAAAACCTTCTCTCCCATGCCTACTGCCTTCATGTGGATATGATTAAATTGGCGTGTACTGATGTCTCCCTTAATAGTCACTATGGATTGTCCATTGTGTTATTTACTTTTGGCCTGGATTCTACACTCATCCTTGTCTCTTATGTACTCATTCTGCGATCAGTGCTAGCTATCGCCTCTCGAGAAAAGCGCCTCAAGACCCTCAACACATGTGTGTCCCACATCTTAGCTGTGCTTATCTTCTATGTACCAATGGTTAGTGTGTCTATTGTACATCGCTTTGGTGCTGGCCTGCCCCATGCTGTTCATATCTTCATGTCTATTCTTTACCTTTTTGTGCCTCCCATGTTAAATCCTATTATTTATTCCATTAAGACCAAGGAGATACGACGTAGGCTACTTAAGATGCTCTTCAGGGTCAAGTTCTGACTCTTTAGTAGATCTAGAAGTACTAGATCTTTTAGTGTTGGAGTTCAACCATCCAGACACCAAAGTAGGAATGGATCAATCAGGTATATTTGTGCCACACTTCAAATTTGTGAATCAATGATCACTCGTTTAATATAGAATATTGGCCAGCATCTGCCAGGACCATCTTGAGTCTTAAATAAAAATTAACTATGTCAATGTCCTCTAGAAGTAGAAAAATTATCTCTCTTTCTTTTAAGAAGAGAGAATGTTGATCATCTTTAAAGAGTAGGATTATTCTCTGGTAGAGCATAGAAGTAACTTCAGGACATTTGGTAACATGCTGAAACTTCTGCTTTGGGGCCTGCATGACTCTGTAAAACAGAGACACAGACAGGAGTAATAATTATGGGCTGGGTATATACTGTTATCAATGTGCAAGTTTACTGTGGGTGTTTGATTTCTGATACTGCCAAGAGTCAAGAACTTTGCCATCATGGTGTTTGAAAAATTGTAAAGTTGTGGAGTTTAAAAGCTGTGTTATTAAAGTAATAAGAATTTACAGGACTCCTGGGATTTTTTTTTCCAACATTGAGAGACTGAGTTATGTTGTTCTTGGCTCTGCCAACCTCCATTGAATCAGCAAGCTAGTGCTTGCATCTCTCATGGAACCCTTCTCTCATTCTTTCATTTCCATCTGCTTTTCCTAATGGAATTTAAGCTCACAAAAGAAGCAGTGTCAACTGACTCTACTCTGTCTGTCCACACTAGACTTTCCATTGACCTTCCATTCAGGAAACATCCGATGTTGTTAGATTAATGATGAAACAATAGGTTAAAAAAATGAAGAAACAATGAGTCAATAAGAGGAAAAATAATAAATGAAGAAATTACTGAATAAACATATGAACTATTAATGACATTCCTCGGATTAGAATTCTTATGAAAAACATTTCTTCTCCCTCTATGCCCCATAATTCTCCCTATAAGGGGAAATATAAATGAAAGGTGAGAGATCCTGATGAAATGAAATGAGTCTATCTATGTCTTGATTTCTTCACCTACAAAAGACACTGAAATCTCTAGTTTATCTACCTCATGGACTTATTTTGAAGAGTAAATGAGCTGCTCTGAAAATGATATAATAATATACATGTACATTTATTTACTTATATTATTTTTATTCAGCATGAATAAATACTAAATTCTATATTTAACTTCAAAATGTTGCATGTATAAAGCATAGTCTAAAGAAATATTTTGTCCACGATTTTTGAACCGTAAGTGCTTAATGTTTATACACTGTGCTAGAAATGAACTTTAATTATGTCAGTTTGATTTTTTCATTTCCCCTATTAGACTGTGAGCAACTCACAGTCAGAAATCATGCCTTATTTGTCTTTGTATTCTTCAGCCTCTAACAGAGGTTCTGGAAAAGTCCAGACACACAAACACACACACACACACACACACACACACACACACACACGAATAGTTGAAAAAATAATTACTACACACACAGACACACACACACACACACGAATAATTGAAAAAATAATTACAAATCATTATATTTACATATATTTACATATTAGTACTATCTTTATACTTTAATACATTATCACATGCTGTAATGTTTTTCCCCCATAGGATACATGGGAGAGAGACAGAAAGAAGGAAAATGAGATGTCCCCCAGAGGGCATAGCCATACTGAAATCTATTTTCCTCTGTTCTCTTCTAGGGATTTTGGGCACTCATGCACATGGGCCTGACATGATTTTTGAGCCACTGGGTCAGGGACTTGAACTGGGGTGGCCATGTGGATGACTAGAGCCTTAACCAACATGCCACCTGCCTGATCTGCTAAAACACTATTCCAAAATAGATCATAATTTTACTCAAGGACAATTTTATATGTTACTTTTGTTATTGATCATAGGCTAAATACAGTATGCATTATGGATATGACCAAAGTGAATAAAAAATAAATTGTTCTCGAGAGTTTTAAACATGCCACAAGTGTACACTGAATAGTTATAGTTTTCAGGCTTTCTATAGTATAGAATGCACTCACTGCAATTTAAATAGTGACAGAACTGTGTCTGGCCTTTAACAGGTATTTAAATAAATTATTTTGAATGGATGGTTTTGTTTAATGAGTTAGATCTGTCATAATATGACTTACAGAAAAATTACTGCTATAGTAAGTGAATAATATGATTTCAATGCAGTAATTTTTCCTTCTCCTTTAAATCTAAAGGAACTTGAAGCAATGATTTTGTTCTCTATGTACTTGCAATGATTCACCTCTTTAATATAAAAGCTGTTTAAGAAACATCTAAGTTAATGTTTTGTTCATCACATTTCATAAATACACTCTGAATTCCTCTCTTGATCTTAGAAATCTGCCCAGTCAACAAAGGCTTAGTGGATATATTTTACTGACAATCCTCTCTATTGACAATCCTCTCTATTCTTTAAATAGAGAGTTTATGACTTTGTCTGAATTCATCATTTGCCAATCTATATGTACAAGATATCTGTAAAAGGTTAATGGAAAATTCATATTATTAAAAAATCATGCATTTATTTCAAAATTTTTATACCAAAATAAATTAATATTCAATTTTTCACCTTTTTTCTTAAAGAATTGTTTTATTTTAGCTTTATTTATTTATTTTAAGATTTGACCAGAGAGGGATAGAATGAGAGAGAGAAAGAGGGAAAATGAGAAAGCAAGTTGCCAGGTCTAGGACTTGAACTGTGGTTGGCCATGTGGGAGTCCAGTGCCCCTAACCACTATACCAATAAATTCATATTCTAATTCCATGAACATTTTAAATCCCCCTCATATACCTCAGACTATTTCCCTAGTTCACTGGTAAAATCTGTGTGTACAATGATACTCATTCCTTTAGGGCTCTGGGTTGTCATGGACATCAGACACGTGATCTGAGTTGCTATGATTCAACTTTTGCTCAGTCTTTCTGGTTTTATATCTTATTCTCAAACAACTGTAATACGTGTTGTACCTGGTCTCTTTAAGCAATACTAAGGTCACCACTTATTATAGACTAGAAGTAGGTTCAGAGTTCATTTAGTTCATCTATCTACTCAACCTTCTGGAAGCAAATGCCAGCACCTTTATGCTGTAGAAAAGTAGGAAAAGACATTTTGAAAGTTGGTGTTGGTGCATAGGAAACAGCCTGGGCCACAATATTAGAGGACTGGAGAGTGCAGGAGGTCTTCCTGTATGGGTTTGGGTTTTATGTGGGGGTAATTTGACCTCTGTCTTATCTGAGTCCATACCTAAATAGTCATGAAGTCTCAAGTGAGTTTGATAGCCTCTTCTGGGCCTCACTCTGTCAGATTCCACACAGCACAACATACCTTGATGAGTAGCTTACATTACAGTTTGAGGACTACTTGGTTCTACACCTTCATCTCCTCTGCATTAGAAAGTGCTTCTCCTGTGACCAATGTAACTGTGACACTAGGTATAAGTTTGGTAGGTGATGACAACTAAATCCTTAGGTCTGATTTATCTGAGTGGAATTTTTGAAAAACTACTGCATTTGCATCTGAGTTAGTTTCGGACAAACATACACAAGAGATTCTTTCTAAAGCTGGCTTCCTTGCTGATCTTCCTGATCTGGTTCAATTATGAATCTCCTATTACTAAGTGCTATTTCTTTGAGCTATATATGCTAATGTTTTTCTCAAAATAAGTTGTTCAAGCTGTTCTAAATATTGATTCTTATTATGCTCTGCACTTAGGTCAATATTCACCCCCAGTTATCTTAGTTTCAGGACTTAGTGTTTGATACTCACACAAAAACTACTAATATCCATTGAGTGCTAATGGCAGTTACTATTCATGTATTCTCTTATTTAATCATTCCAATGATTTTGGGATATATGTACAATGATTATCTATTTTACAGGTGAAAAATAAAGCTGTATGGGGGTTAGAAACTGTTTCAAGGCAAGTGTTGGAACATAGCCTCAAACTTCGGATCATCTACTTTCAAAGTTTATCAATCAATCTTTATTATCTTTATTGCCTCTCTAAAACTTATTCGAAAGACAATTGGGAGGAAGGCAGCACGATACAATGTCCTCAACAGCCTTGTAATCAGGGTAAATAGTTTCTATAATTTGATGAGCAATTATAGTTTATGTGTGATCCATCAGAGTGTACCACCATTTATCATGCCAAGAATCAATTTCATAGGTGATATATGTGAGATATTTACACATCCTACTAAATTAAAATGCTGCAGTTAATTTACATGGAGCTTAAATAGTCTTCATAGGATTTACAGTTTGTTATGGCTATAGATTATATTGTGCTTTTGGAAAAGTAGTGACGTATTTTGCTCTATGCAAAATGCGTCATAACTTTTCAGACAATCCAATAGTTGTGAAATGAAAAAGCTGTAAACTGAGAAGACCCAGGCTTAAATACCATTCTGTCACTGAAAAGTTATTTAAGTTTGAGGCATCTCTTTTCCTTCCTAGGATATAATTACTTCTGTAAAATGAAGGGTTAGATAAAATATTCTTGTTAGTGCTTTCCAGGTCTGATCATTCCTCCTCCAGTGGGCTGCTACGATGATGAAATGATGTTAGGCAGGTGTGGAGAACTGTGGCTGCTCCATATTCCCAGAAGTCCACGAGCACCTGAGCTCGAAACAACTTAAGGGACTTCCTGGTTGCAGCCATATATTTCTTAGGCCAGGGAGACGGCAGAGGTAACCTGGGACAATGGAAAAAGCCTACAGGGCCCCCAGTACTGCTTTTCTTTCCTCTGAAGCCTGTGTGCAAAGAACTCTCTTAGGCAGGTAGGTTGGAGTTTTAAACACTCTGATTTCAGGTCCTAAAGCATCCTACTCCCAGTTTTAAAATTCTGAGTACTACAATATGATAATCTGAAAAAAGAAAGTCTGTCCCTACCCTGAGTCTTCTTTTCTTTTTTTTCTGCTTTTATGTCCTTACCTTTATCATCTTCTTAATTCTA